TGTGTGTGTGTGTGTGTGTATGTGTATTTGAGTTGTGCTCTACGTTACTCTATTTGTAAAGAGTAAAAATTTCTATCTTAAAAAATAGAAGAGTCTTTGGATATCCCTAAAATTTTGCACCGACAGAATTGAATCAAAAATTGCGCTCATATCCGCAAACTTACAAATAATCTAAAAGTTCACATATCACAAATTAATTTCACGCTCTACTTTAGGTAACATTTAGTTCTTCCAAGAATTTCCACAATCAGACAAGTCGTTACGTAACATTCAGTAGTCTGACAAAACATACATCTACCCTGTTTTATATCTATTTCGTGATCATCATCTCATTATCATCATAGCTACATTAGACAGAATCCTCTTCTTTTTTCTTAAAAATTTGCGATATTAGAATATTTATATTCTTAATTCAAACAATATTTGGCATCTTTGTAGTTTACTCTTTTAGTCAGCAGTGCATTTTTCTAGTTTGCTTTACAGCCAGCGCATTTTTCTATTCATGCAAAAATCTTTTTTAGATAAAAGCTCCTTTCGATTTCACATACATGCACACACTACTTATTAAGCAAACGGTCGACCCTTGTTATTTTAATTGAAGTCCATTCTTGCAGATCTTCTGCTTCACGTTGACTCTAGCACGCCACCGGCGAGTTTTGTCGCATAAAGGTTTAGTGCCTTTAAGAAAAAAGATTTATTTTAGATTAGCGCAGTGTAACAACATCGTGTTTTTCATCATCAATTTTTCTAATGGTAGAGAATTTATTTTCTTATATAAATATAAATTTTTGTATTTCTGTAGAAATAGAAATATTATTTTTTATTTTTATTAAAAATTATATTTCATTTCTGTGTAAAAATATTAAAAATTAACATAAAATTATTAATCAATAAACTCTTAATCTAATATTATATTATTATGATTAAATATTTTTCTTGAGAAAGATAAGTTTTTGTTTTAGCGACATACGTCTCCTCATAATATCGCGTAATATTATCGCGATTATTGATGAAATCAAGCATCACCTTGTATATGAAAGCGTATTGCTCCTTAGTCTGGACTGCGCCAGCCCGGTCTCTCCTGATGGTGTAAACGACCCTCGGCACATCCACCGTCCTCGTAATTTCATATTGTCTAATTCCTAGGTCGAGAGCTATTAGCGTGCCAGTGCGTCCTGTGCCAGGACTACAATGAACCACGATGGGCCCAGGGCCACCTCGCTGGAGTGCTCTCGCCTCGAGAAGCACCGCTATTAGGCCTGCACCGTCTGATTGAACGCCACTCACTGGCCATAGGTACCAAATGTGAAACACCTCACGGAATGTATTGTTCTCTAGATTCTGCAAGAAACATTTAATTAATTTAATTTAATTAATTGACTCCGTTTGATGGAAGATGCCATTGAATTATTTTGATGGCAACAATTATTATTACAACTATATATAGTGATGCTATTATTTATATTATTTATTTTTGTAAGAATCTCCTGCAATATATCATATCTTAATTTTATAAACAATATTACTTTGTAATTGATATAAATCATCAGTTTAAAACAAATAAAAATTGAAAGACTAACTAAGAAAATATTAATTTTAGATTTTATAAAATTATTATCATCTCTCAAGAGTTTTATTAATTATTAAATATAAAGATTTGTGCAATTATGAGCGTTATTTACCTTCAAATGAAGTGTAGAAATAGCGTATTTCTCTTTGGTTTCCCGCTTCTTCAAAGTGACTTGGAAATCACCATAAAGTCGGTGACAGTCAGTTACCTCCGAAGGTGGAATGTATTCCGTACATTTTTCCACTTCGTTCTCAACGAGATCGGTCAGCATGATAATCACCTTGCACTGCTGCTCCCAAATCATTCGCCAAAAGTCGGTAACGGTCGACTCTATTGGCGCTTGGCACGCGATATAATACTTTGTAGCATTCTTAGGCCCCTGAAAAACCAATGTGTATTTTTAAAACAATGTGTGTTTTAAGCTGAAATTATTATTACTAAAGTAATATCTATCATTTCCAAGCACTCTTTAAATTATTTTGAACATCTTTTTCAACTTTTAATGTATTATATTTAAAATTTAAAAAATAAGAAATTAATTTATAAATATTTTTCCTGTCATATTCCTGTTATATTAATATTTAGTTACATTAATGATACAGTACTCAATATACATAATTAAATAAAACTGTAAAATTTTATTTTACTAATTTTATTTAACTCGAAAGCTTGAATTTTGAGGTGTTTCTTTACAAAAATATTTGTCTTACATTTTTATCTCAGTGTTTCAAGTTAAAACTTATTCGTTCACCTGATGACTTATTACTATAATTAATCTAATATTGCGGGATACCTATATAAACCATTTTAATTAGTAATATATTATATTTTTAAGAATGGTTGATGAAGATTTTTATTTTTTTGATCATTTTATCATCTTTCATCTTTCATTATTTATAGATAACTGTCGAATGCTCCAATTCGATGCGCAATCGTGTTTCTGGGCCTATTACGCGATCTTACCCGCGGAGTTATCGAGCGAAATTAATTACACGTCGGACTGCGTTCGATCAACCACATTCGGCGCGCATTAATGCCTGCACGCTCCGTAATTGCAAGACGTACGCTATACGCACGCTATACGTTATGCATAAGGTAGAAGCGTTGCGAATGCCCATTCGATTGTATCCGCGATATGAAGCAATCTGTGGGCGGAAGCGAGACTGCTGGATACGCTTGTCGATCGATCGATTCGTTCCTAATGGAAGTCTCGTCCGTTTCCCTCGAATCCCACATGGAAGCGTCTTAACGCTACGAGATAAATGGACATGTCGCACCCTTAGGGCGCCAGGCGCTGCAGGATGCTTGGGAAAGGGAAAAAATACGACGATATATTCTCGTGTTACTTATACACTTTTCCTCCGGTTTTTGTATCCGGGTTTTGTTCAAGAGAGAAAAATATTTCCAAGCGATAAATTGAAAATTGCTCAGTCGCCGCCCGCACTGCATTTATTAAGATAAAATTGTGTGATGGTTACGACACTGTACACGTAACCATATTCTCGTCACATCTCTCTCTGCGATTTATGCAACGAAAGAAATTCCGTATGCACAGGTTTCTTGTCCGTGTATTACTATTATTACAAATTGCCGCAAATTGTCAAAGCGATAAACCGCGCCGAACAATTGCGAATCGTTCTGCGAATAAATAGACTAGTCAATACAGATATAAAATTATAACAAATTAATATAAAAAAATATAATTAAACAGATATTATATTTTTGAACTGAGAAAATAAAATAACAGAATTTTGGAAAAATAATCCCTTAGACGGGACCTTAGGTCTCTTATAATTTTTCATTTTTTAAAATTCTGAATTTATATTTATAAATTCAGAACAGTTGCTTAATATCGCGAACTACGTGCCTATTAACAGACTTCCAACGCAGCAGCTCACAACTATATTCTTTAAATCGATAATCAAATCTGAAAATCGATTATATCCTCGTTTTCCCTCTCCTATACGAAATTCTTATTACGAAAAATATCATCTCAGTCAGGAATCAAACCTGGGACCTGGATCCTTTAATATTAAATTTATGATTACAGATTTTTAGATTTTTTTTTATTTTTAGATAATATCGAAAGCTATCCAGGAATTTAGCCATACCAATATATAAGCCCACTTTACACGATATCTCGACGTCTATAACTCGACACGGAATTGAAATAGAATCCTGTCTAGAATCCTGCCGTAAATTATAGATCATCTAAAGTGGGCTTTGCAGAACAACTTTTGATTGCGAAATATGTCAGTATCTTTTATTTCATTACATATATTTTAGTGCTAAAAGATCAATAAATATTCGTAAAAATTAAGAAAATATAAAAATCATTATTTTTTCAATTTTTTCAATTTTTTCATAAACTGTTTCCGCATAATCCGTCTGCTTTGTACGATTTCTGATTCTCTCTGAGAAATGATTGAGAAACATTTATTTTCTCAGAACAAATGTATTCCCGATAACACGACCTTGCGTACGCGAAACGATTAGCCTTTTGTACCTCTTTGACCCCGTTTTGTAAAACGATTGCAACTACAGAAGGCGAACTGGTTATATTCCACGAATAATTTCTGATGCTTCCGCGACGGAGTTCTCAGACTTACGCGTTACAATTCATTCATTTCACTTTCCCAGCGATATGCGTTATGCAACATTCCTTTCTCACGCGCCACAAAAACACTTTGCTACACTTTAACACTTCAGCACTCGCTGTATGACATAGTTGATATAATCTGATCTCACGTAAAAAACACCCTATTATTCTAATGACATACATAGATATAATTACGTAGTTTACTTATGTTGAATATAAAAAACGAGACAAATCACAGGTCATAAATAGATCGCCATTTATTCTTCACCCGGTGTTGCTCGTTATTGATTCGGAAATTAATTGAAAACGTGAAGCTTGTAATTCTGAGACATGGTTATTCATCATGCTCGAGTTCGAGCACGGGTTTCGGTTTTACGTTCCACGTCGTAAATGCCGGGGGAGCGTAAAATCTTTAATAGAAATAACGCACGTGCTAACGACGAAGGTGTCCCTTACACGAGATATACGCGGGATATATGCGAGAGAGGCGCTTCCGAAAATCAGCTGAAACAAAACGTCTCACTTACCCGCACGTAACTGGCGTTGATGTACTCGGTCAAGGCGTCATTGTTCAGCCTCTGTAACGGCACCCTCGTCTCCGGAAGCGGTATCACGTTCGCATACCTATTCTTCACTTCCGCTCCCGGGGGCAGCTCGTCTATTTTCGCCGAAACCTGGGGTATGCCCGCGAACTCTTCATTGATTGCATTAACGTCGTTACAGAAAGATGAAAGCCCGGCAAAGTTGAGGGGATGAGAGGGAATGGCGCTCTGAAATAAGAGAACACCTTTCATAGAAAGCTTTCCTTGTAGCTTCGCTTCTAGAGGAGAGAGAAAGAGAGAGAGAGAGAGAGAGAGAGAGAGAGAGAGAGAGAGAGAGAGAGAGAGAGAGAGAGAGAGAGAGAGAGAGAGAGAGAGAGAGAGAGAGAGAGAGAGAGAGAGAGAGAGAGAGAGAGAGAGA